AATGGGCTATACGCATTTTGCCCACTACGAGGACATCGACAGCTGATTAGTAAGATAAAGCCCATACTTTTTGTATTCGTGTTGCAATAAAATAGTGTGCAACCCAGAATGTGTTACTGTTTATTGTAATTTTCAGCAGTGGGTTTCTTTGTACTTTAAACTAATTAGTTCTGTTAAGTTACTGCTTTAACTGTTATCAAATGGATAACGTAGTATTCTATTTCATTACTTAGTTAATCGATTAATTACACCAGCTATTAAAGCTGTCTTGTTACTATTATGACTTTCATTAACAAGCATTTGTTATAAAAGAAACTTTAAAACATCTATGCAAATAGAAAAAATAACTAAGTGCGAAGTTTAACTACGATTGCTTTCATTTAAAGAGGATAGTTTTATTGTCTGAAGAATCAATACGTATGTGTAATATATATAATTATGCTAAACATCGACCAGTAAGAAAAACGAGAATCTATGAACATTTGTGAAACTTTAAGGTGGTGCAAAAATCAACATTTAATAGTTTTCGATGAGAATGTTACAATAAAACACAGGAACATAAATGATTTCTCAGAAGGCGAATGCAAAATAAATCGAACTTGCATGTTAATATCCTTGAACATGAAACATAAAATGAGAAGAGTAAACTTTGCAGTCTCATGCAAGTTGAGAGCGTCGCTTAATGAATACAGCTGGAGCCACTAATGAAGAGCTATTAGAGCGTTTCAGAACTCCGACTGACTAATGAATTTTATGTAATTCTGTCACGACAATGTTTCTAAGTAGACATTAATTGTAAGGGGCTATCTCGCATTAGTAGGAAGAACACATTCGAGTTTTGATATATAGTCTACAGTTGAGGGTGGTAAGTGCTATTGTTCTGTGAAATTGATTCTATAGACATACTACGTTACTTAATATACAGCGTAACGCATCAGGAAAATTTTATTTTTATCAGTTGCAAATGAATTATTTAGTTACTTAAATTACATGTCGGAGTGATATCCTACATCGAATACAAAATAGATTTATCGGTGGCGTCACGTTTTCGAGGTAACCGAAATAAAATGCTTCAGTATATAGAGAGCAGGAATTATCAGACATGACATTTATAATGTCATTTGAATCAGAATCTGGCGGAAGCTCAACAACATGACATAGATCATTTGGAAATGACATTATTTACAGGTTGAAACGTTCGTACTGTATTTGTTTGTAATTAAGCACAAAGCTACACAGTGGGCTATCTGTGCTCTGCCCACCACGGGTATCGAAACCCGGATTCTAGCGTTGTAAGTCCGCAGACATACCGCTGTGCCACTGGGGGGGGCCGTTTGTACTGAAATCGTAGAATTGTAAGCGAGTTCGGGCTCAAATAAGGTAACCTTAAATTAAAACTTTCGTGTAAAGTATTTGCTTAATACACGATCTGTTTTACGTATTAGTGCAGTAATGGTTTAATAACGTTTATCAAACAGATTGTCTAATTTATAAAGGTTTTCTGGAAAATAAACTTCATTTCCTTTTATTCCCATCTTCTTATTCTAAATATACAATGCATTTATCTTAATATTTATTGATGCTCGTAAATGGCCTAGTGAAGAACATCTCATTAAAACAACATAAAATCAGGTCGACTTTTCCAAAGTGTTCCTCGTTCCAGTTTTCCAGGGTTCGTTATAGCCTTTAATAGCTTACTGCTAATACATCTAGTCCTGCAGTCCATCATTTGCATTCGTTTTTTTCTCATTTTTTTAAACGAAAGACTGAGACTTTGTCATGATAAAGTTTCATTAATAAGCACCACTGACAATGTATAACATGAACTTCTTCCAACAAAGTTTGTTTCCAGTATTGTTTAAAGCAGCACCAGCAGGTGATCTTAACTGTTATTTGAAGCAACTCTCTTTATCTGTAAATTACCAAGGTAACTTAGTTTGAGGGTCATTCTTAAGGCCCTTTGGTAAAATATTGATCTTGGAATGATAAATCAATACAAAAATTGTAACATATTGTTATAATATTTATTCGAGTAACTGATATAAAATAATTTTTCGATCGTACTAACACTTCAATTTCACCCTTTATCAACCAAACTTCATAGAGATCGTTACATTTAGTTGATCTAGGTGGTGCCATGTAAGAATAGTTTTCCTACTATTCCTGTACTCATCTATATATTCCATTATTTGATTTGGATTCTTTAAAGAAGGTATCATGTCTGTCAAGGTAATTTTTGGAACTTTTATTGTTAAAAGGTTTATCAAAAAGCAGCTTATTATGCAAAATAATTACAGGAATTAGACTAGAGAATATGTGAATACTAATGGCATGTGAGTTGTTGTGTTGATAGCTTTGCTGTGCTATGTTTTGAGAAATGGCGTTAAAGAAACTTTCAAAACGTACAATGTTTTATGACAGCTTTCTTAATCAAATAGTGTGTGAATTTTTGATATTTAATTAAGATAAATTATATTACACTTTGGATGCGAGTCGAGTGCCCTAACCACTAGGCCATGCCAGGCCCTCAGTTTGGATGCGACGGATAGTTATGTTATCTCATATATTCGATCGACAATCTACTAAATCAGTGGAATAGACGAAAAATATAAGCGAGTTCAACCTGAAACGAAGTAAGTTCAATAATTTAAATTAAGGATTTCATACAAAGTATTTGATTTATACACGAATCGTTTTACACAGTTTGAAAATATTAAACCACTTGTTATTATGTCAGTTATTCAATGCATTTTACTCAAAACAAGGTTGTTATGCGTATTATCATTCCAAACCAATTGTTGCAGCCAGGTTTCTTAACTTTTGTTGTTATGACAGCCAGATATATTAACATAATACACTATTGGTTACGCTGGTTTCTTATAGCATATTCTGATTAAATGGAAAAGATAATACGCGTGATTCAGCGAATAAATCTTGGCAACCAGAACAGCTAAACAGGTAATTTTCTGCTTCACAGATTTTGCAGACCCTACTGTCACCACCACTAGAGGGAATTGGAGTATTCAGGCTTAGCTACGTTTAAATGTATACTTTGTTTGGCAAAAGATCCCTGTTTTTAATAATCAACCGAAACAATGTAACAGTAAGATATTAAGACATTCGATGATACATAAAAATGGATATTAAATATATTAAAGATAGTGAATCAAAACAGATGGATTTGAGAATTTTAAAAGTTACAGAAAAGTGGGCTTCACTTTTAAAGGGGAAGTATTACCCCTTCTTGAAACTTTTTGGCTTACATTAATATATGCTCACAGGTTACCTTGATTATTTTGATATTTCTTGTCCGAAGATACTTTGTACGTTTTCATTACTACACACACACACACACTAAGAATACTACGTTTATCTTCAATACCTTATGTACTCAGAATTGCTACTTCGTTTTCATTATCCAAGCCCAGTTGAGAAAGGAGGAGGATGGTTGTCGTCAGGGCTTGCAATCCGGGCGTAAAAACTTTGCAAAATAAATATGGAGAAGAATCACGTGGTATGCCTTAGCGAGTTTGAAGGGACACATGGGGGAGGGAGGCTATGGAATAAGAAACGTGGGAGGAGAGAGATGACAGAGAGTATGGATTTGTTCCTGACAAACAGAATCCAGGCAGGTTGGAATAAATGGAAGGAAATACCCACAGTCATCTGCGACAAAAGGTTACCAAGGGCACTGAAAACAAAAGTAAATAAGACCGTGATTACACCGGTGCCGAGACCTGTACCCTGAAGAAGAAACAAAAAGGCTTGCTGATAAGAGCAGAAATGATAGTGCTGGTATTACTGTTGGGAGTGTCGCTGAAAGAGAAGAGAACGAATAAGGAAATAGTAGAATAGAGGAAAAGGCGAGAGAAGCGAGGCTGAGGTGGCTTGATGACGTGATGAGAAGAATAAAGAGAGCATTAGAGCTGCCAGTAGCCAGCAAGAGAAGACAAGAAGGACGGTCAGTAAAGTGTTAGAAGGAGAAAATTAAAGAAAAAAATGAACGAAAAAAGAATTGCAAAAGACTAAGCAATGAATAAAGATGATTGGAGGAGGGCAACAGATGTGAAGGAAATACCTAGTATGTTTTAAAACTTTATATAATGAGAATATCTAACATATCTTAATTACTTTATATACTACGGATACCTAGAATGTTTTAATTATCTTATTATCTAGAATTACCTAGAATGTTTTAAAACTTTATATAATGAGAATACCAAACATGTTGTAATTACTTCATATACTGGGAATGCCTAACATGTTTTAATTACTTTATATACTGGGAATGCCTAACATGTTTTAATTACATTATATACTGGGAATGCCTAACATGTTTTAAGTACTTTATATACTGGGAACGCCTAACATGTTTTAATTACTTTATATACTGGGAATATCTAACATGTTGTAATTACTTCATATACTGGGAATATCAAACATGTTGTAATTACTTCATATTCTGGGAATATCTAACATGTTTTAATTACTTTATGTACTGGGAATAATTAACATGTTTTAATTACTTTATATACAGGGAATACTTAACTTGTTTAATTACTTGATATACTGGGAATATTTAACATGTTTAATTACTTGATATACTAGGAATACCTGGTATGCTTTGAATACTTTATATATTGGGATACCAAACGTGTTTTATGTACTATATATATAAAATAAGAATGCTTTTTTTTCTTTTATCCGAATTTTTTCAACGCACATAAATGTCACGGGGCGTGGGCGCGTTATAAGAGTGAAAATAAAATCCCTTTATTCGATCGAACATGAGAGTTGTTGGTTAGTACTGCTTACTGGCTGTCTTTCTTCGAGTCCGGTATATGAAAATCTAGAACGAATAAGCGAAATAGACTTTGTGTAGCTTTGCGCGAAATTCTGAAAAAAAGTTAAAAGAAACACGAACATCATGTTTTTGTTCAATGTTGTAACGTATTAGATTGTGTTTATTGAAAGAAAAATAAACAAAACGGAAACCTCTGTAAAAAGAAGTGTACGCTTTATTTTCTTTTGGAATGTAGAACTGTAAAATGTAATATATCTAAACACAAGTCATCGTCGTGACCTTGGTAACAGCTGAAACATACAGACGATTTTTTAAGCACAGCTTCATCAAGAAGGAGACTACAATATCCACGTTTTTCTTCACATGTAGTAAAACACAATTCATAGATACAATTTTCCATGTTAGTAATTTGTGACCACAAAAAATATGATGGAAATGATGTAATGACTTAGTTTTAATATTTCGTGTGATTCTTCTCTTTTTTTTTCATCACACGTTTATGTTAAAGATATTCTTTCGAGCTAAGCCTTACTTTGCTTTGCAACAACATGGAAAGGTAGTCAGAGTTGAACCATTCACCCATGCTTGAGCAAACTTTTACGATTTGCCATATGACGACAATTATTAACATTGTTATGGGTGAAGTAATGTTTTAAACATGCTTTCAAAGTTGGCTGAGATAAACAGTAATTAGATGGGCTTTTTTATTCATATCTATATTTCAAACAACGTTTCAGGTTGTTGTGTGAAAGTTATAGCAACATGAAGATTACACAAAAATAGCATATAACGTTATATTTGCAGTCAGGCAATCACGTGCTCTCTACGAGTTTTGTTTTTTAAACCGAACTAATAACTTTTTTTTACTGCCATATTTCACACGGGTAAGAAAACGTAAATTTCTGTTTTATTACTTTAAACAGTTTAGCTTTTGAGCAAAGTATGAAACCAATGCACATACGATGAGTTTTTTTAACTTGTTTTACCATATACAACTTGTGCTTGTCCGCTTTACTTGATATAGCACTTCGACACTGTGCATTACTTAACTTGATATAGCACTTCAACACTGTGCATTACTTAACTTGATATAGCACTTCAACACTGTGCATTACTTAACTCCACCATATTCTACAATATAAAATACATTTGATTATTTCTATCTCATCATCTTGTCTTGTAGTCTGACTTCCAAATTTAACAGAAAAACATGTCTTTGCGATGTCTTAGAAAATATTACAAATACCTTAGACATTTACGGGTTATTTTTACAGTGTATATTTACAAAACTATACTATCCATCCCTCTGCTTCTACCTACATTTTTATAGACTCCGTGTCATCTTCATAAAATAACTTTTCTTTCTGCACATAACTTTACTTAAAAGTTTCTTCTGAGAGAAAGCTTTTCTTGACAATTTTTTTTAAACTATTAGTGTAAAAATGAATTCGTCATGAAACTTTAAAGTAGGTCCAGTATTTCCTTACTCATCTTTAGAAACTTCCAGGGTAAGTTCAATGTTTTCTACATAGCTTTAGATTTAGAAACAAGTTACAATTATAACACTTCGAGTTCACAGGTAAGTGTCATCCACAGCTCTGGTCTTCAAGTTACTTGCTGGATGTGTAGTGTGTCATTAAGTAATTAACACCACATTACGCTTATCGGTTTATCGCTTATCAGTTTATCGGTAATATAATGCATTAGTTATGCTCAATATTGTCTATTGGATATTATTCTAACACTTGTCAGAACGAATTGTAATTTTGAAATAATTTCCGGAGTCTCAAAGAAAATTCTGGAATCCGAAAAAAATCTTATCACTGAAGAATAAGTATTGTAAGATTATTCTTAAAATCATTAGAAAGGCAACACGTCCCTAATCTCTCATACAATCGCACCACAAGTAGACCACTGACATTGACTGCGTGAGATTAGGCTTAGCAATGTGAACAAGGTTTGATAAAAAGTTGCTATCTAGCGGTTTACTTATAAACGAAAAGCTATCATATGATGATTGTTCTACTATCGATAATTTATGTAATTGTTAAGCCTTAATGACGAAATAGCATGAATACCATTCACCAGGCAGAAAGCCCCTGAAGCTTTACATGGTTTACAATGCCTTAATGGCTGCATTAGCTCGTACTTTTCCTTTTCGCGTGGTTCCTGTACCCGTCGACCCACTCTTCAAGATCTTGAGGCAGTCCTGCTCACATAATACGTTACCATTGACCATGTTATACCGGTCGCCAGGGTTCAACTGATTGTGACACTTGACACAAGCAAAGCATTTCAGGTGGTAGACATTTCCCTGTGTCCTCATGACGAACTCATTGGCCGGGATAATTTGACCACAGGCACTGCAAGCTCCGCTGCTTCCGAACATTCTAGAACAAACACAGACACATAAGATTAACACACAGCTTTCAAGTACGATATGTTATTTATTATGTAGGAGTTAATACCTATTTTTTTTTCAAACTATTACAGTCCCGTGTTCATTTGCCACCTTCATTCACAAAGATATTACCTTATTTCCAACACACTGTTGTATTATCAATAATTTAGTTAACTGAACTAAAACTAACTCTAACCTGAACTAAGATGTTAAGTAAAAGTGTAAATATAATAACATAACCCTAAAGTGTATATTTTCAAACCTATCACATGACCTACGATGTAAGTGTTCAAACCAAGTAGATGTAGATGCTAATGAACTAAATTTGCTAATTTGTATGTTAACCCTAAATTAAACAATAATGAAATATAAACGTATTTTACTAATAATATTTTAGACAAATTGCGTACTACAATATTCGTTAAAACCGTTAAAGAATTAATAGCATTGAATTATGCATGTTTAGAACCCGCACCACCATTTTAGCCAGGCATATCCGTCAGCCACCTAAGTCCATTGTCTCTAATAATGTATTTCTTAGTTTTTTCTAACAAAGTTTATACAACAGGATGATGTATTAAAATAAGTAATATATCTAAAACACTGCCACATTATACCATTCCATTCATCTTAGGCAGAATAAGAGAAATTGAATTAAATCGCATTTGGCGCTCCTTCCTGTACCTTCCTCTCGTGTTATAAAATAATGCCAACCACCAATCATGCATTTTATAATCAGTCATGGTATCACAGTCTTGTCTTCTTTACCATTTTGAAGTGAATCATGGACTTTTAAAGTTCTTCAAAATTTTCATGAACCACAGCTAAACATCAAAGAACAACATTCGGATGTTAAACTCATGTGTAAGACAGTCAAACACCAAGGTGCTGCCAAGTTTACATAAGTGTCGTTAACATTGTATAATCGCGTCCAAACCAATGGTACAGTTACATGAACGTGTGGATAACTTATGTTATTACTAATAACGTGGGCCCGGCATGGCCAGGTGGATAAGGCGCTCGACTCACAATCTGAGGGTCGCGGG